GGGTTCCCCCTTCTGCGGGGGGGCGGGTGTGCGGCTGCGGCTGCGGCTGCTGCCGCTGCAGGCGGTCAGCTCATCACCGTTGTGGACAAAGTGACAGCGGGCTCCGTACGGACAGAAGCCTATGGTGTGGAAAGTGCGGCAGGGCTCCGTCTTATATTTGGGGTGTCGGCTCAGGCCCCGCAGCTCCTCCACACCGTGGGCAAACTGACACTTTGTTCCGTACTTGCAGGTTCCATTTTCTTCATATGTGCGACAGAGTTCGGTTTTGTAGCGGGTTGAGATGTGAGGTGATGGAGCTGCTGGTCTGGAGGCAGAGGAGGCAGTGGAGGAGATAGAAGTGCTGCTGAGGCACAGGCCTGGGGGGGGCAGCAGCACCGACGGGGACACACTGGGGACTTTGTCTTCTTTGTGCACCAGGCTCCGCTCGCTGCCTTCAATCATGCTGACAGATCGGTCCACCCTGAACGGGATGTGGCTGAGCGTGGAGCGCGGCAGCTGATTCTCCCTGCACCACTGCTGGTTGGGGACCAAACCCAGGCCCCAGCAGGTGGAGTCGTTCACCTCGAAGCTGCTGCTGTTGAACTTCGAGTTGGGGAGGGTGACAGGGCAGAGAGAGTGACGACGCTGGAAGCCCAGGAGCCTCTGACTGCGCTGCTGCTGCTGCTGCTGCTGCTGCTGCTGTGAGCAGACATGTCGGCCATCTGTTGCCTCCAGGCCGCGGAAATTCTGTCACACAAAAGGTAGAGAAGAGAAAAAGAGACGTGTGGGCATTCATGAAGCAGCCAAAGATCCAGAATATTCACAGAGTAGATGAAAAGACACGAGTTTGATCTACTTTGACGTTCAGATATAATAACCCTGGGGACATGAGACGAAGTTTCTAAAGTTTAGACAAAGTTAATATTCATTGGATTAGGGTCGAAAAAAACATTATTTTGGTTGTGGCACAGTTTCAGTAGGAGTTGGAAACAGACGAAGAAGTCTGTGAGATTTTCTCATTTAGTCATTTTTTGTGTTTTGATTTTAAAATAAATCTGCAGCAGATTAAAATGATCATGTTCGTCAGTATGCTTTAATCCATACCATGAGTAGAAAGTACTTCAGTGATAACAAGAAGTCAAACATGAAACAATTACAACATGTCCACACACACACTCTCTCTCTCTTACCTTGTAAAACTCCTCATCCAGCTCCAAGAACGGTGTGAGGAAATCTGAGGACATGGTTGGAGTCTCTGTCCTCACAGAGCAGAAAGTACAGCTCTTTGATTCAGGTGGAGAAAAGTGTGTCCAAACCAGGGAGGTGAAACAGAGCAGGGAGTGGACGTCAGAGCTGGGTCCTCTGGAGATGATGATTTTTGTGAAGGAGTTGGAGACAGTGTAAAGCAGTGAGGGGACAGGGAAGGGGACAAGGTGGCTCCTGGAGGAAAGTTTCCAAACCATCTGCTGGAATCTGCTTAAAGACTCAGAGACCCCCCCCCCCCCCCCCCC